TCGTTAATAATAATAATAATAATATCGTTAATAATAATAATAATAATAATAATAATAATAATAATAATAATAATCTAGGAGGGCGCATGCGCGTCGTCTGAACTTGTTTTGATCCCGTTATGTGTTGGTAGTGAGGGACAGAGGGGCGTATACGCCACACTCTGTGGGGCTCTTTTTCAGTCTTAATTCAGAAGTGAATTAAGGTAAATGTTAAACATGAGTCCGTCATTAACACAATGATGATATACAGTAATATACTGACGATATACCCCATCATATACTGACGATATACCCCATCATATATTGACGATATACATCATCACATACTGACGATATACACCATCATATATTGACGATATACACCATCATATACTGACGATATACACCATCATATACTGACGATATACACCATCATATACTGACGATATACATCATCACATACTGACGATATACACCATCATATACTGACGATATACACCATCATATATTGACGATATACATCATCACATACTGACGATATACACCATCATATACTGACGATATACACCATCATATACTGACGATATACCCCATCATATACTGACGATATACACCATCATATACTGACGATATACACCATCATATACTGACGATATACATCATCACATACTGACGATATACATCATCATATACTGACGATATACATCATCACATACTGACGATATACACCATCATATACTGACGATATACATCATATACTGACGATATACACCATCATACACTGACGATATACACCATCATATACTGACAGGAGGCACCAGAGCCACAACACAGGAGAGAAAGGCAGTGTGAGTCAGATGATCGTGTCTGCATCAGTGGTTGACTCCCTCCCTCATGACACGCCACCACCACAACTACCAACATCACCACCACAACCATCATCCCCTCCCCCCCTCACAACCACCACCACACCTATCAACCCCCTCCTCTCACCTCCATGAATGTTGCCGGGGGCTGCCCAAGGCCTTCAGACATTCTCACAGACGACCTTTTCAAGACGGTGTGAAAGATTCTAGCGAGAATAACGCTATTGTTGGGGCCCTGAACTGTTGGTGGTAGGAGTGAGGGGGGGATTTTGTTGGAGAGAGAGTGGCTGGTGGAGAGGCTGTGGTGGATTACTTAGGGAAGAGGAGCAAAGTGTAAGATACATGCACAAAACTTAAATAAAGACCTGTCTCAAATTTGCCAACATAAGAACATAAGAAAGGAGGAACACTGCAGGAGGCCTGTTGGCCCATACTAGGCAGGTCCTTTACAATTCATCCCACTAACAAAACATTTGCCCAACCAAATTTTCAATGCCATCCAAGAAATAAGCTCTGATGTGAAAGTCCCACTCAAATCCAACCCCTCCCACTCATGTACTTATCCAACCTAAATTTGAAACTACCCAAAGTCCCAGCCTCAATAACCCAACTAGGTAGACTGTTCCACTCATCAACTACCCTATTTCCAAACCAATACTTTCCTATGTCCTTTCTAAATCTAAACTTATCTAATTTAAATCTATTACTGCGGGTTCTCTCTTGGAGAGACATCCTCAAGACCTTATTAATATCCCCTTTATTAATACCTATCTTCCACTTATACACTTCGATCAGGTCTCCCCTCATTCTTCGTCAACGTAGCATATACTGCTTAAATAATGAGGGTAATATGGGCTTCAGGTGAGACGGTATATTCTCTTCTTGGAAAACTTAAGTTGCAGTGATGAGGTACTTCTTAATACTCCTGGTATTCATGCATTTGTGTAGGTTCCATTCCAGTTGTGTCAAACAATCTCTACCTCAAATTCCCTAATGCACAAGTCATCAAGAAAGACGTACGACACCCGCAGCTGGGGAGCTAATGGCGGGTCACCTCATGGACAAGACCCGGGCCGGGCCCATACCGGTGAACCACTTCCATCTCGCACTCATCTACTTGTCGTGATAACGTTTACTCTGGTTCTTCTCTCCTCCAGGGTTGTTAGTTCACCGCCTTTAGTCTCAATTCAGAAACTAGTCTCGTTGCAAACTTTGCAGTAATATGGTGCAGCATACTGAAAGCTGCAGCATACTATAAGTACAAACATGAAGATTGGCGCTTATAAGCGCCAATCTTCATACCTATACTTAAGAGTCTTCAAGACTACGGTGCTCTTCACCAACTACAAGACTGAGGGACTAATTACCTCATCTTTTGTATATTATCCTACAGTCTTCCCATTATGTCCCTGAATTTGTATTGATAAAAGAACTGAATGGCGAAACGTCTACAATTAAGATAGACAAATGTTGAACGTGTGTCTAATTGTTCATCTCGTCGGTATTATATATCACACATGTACAACATATCTGACCATGTTTACATCATGTTTACATCCCGTAAACTATTCATATCTTCCTCCGTTCCAATTTTCCTCATTAGCTTTACATCATCCGTAAAAAAAAAAAAGCGCTAAGAATAAGTTCGTCTGGCAGATCGTTTACATATTGGGTGTGAGTAAAACCTACCTAGTGTGGGTTAGTAAACTTACTGCAGTGATCCTCTGTTCTTATGTAATACTGAACAGTGAGGGACCCCGCTCGTCACCCTTGCCCTCCCTGATACTTCCTATTTTTTTACTCACTTTATGATGGTATTTGAGGTTCAGCCTCTGGTGAGGCATTGTTGAAAATATTCCTCATTATCCCCCATCAGCCTGGGGGGCAGTGACCCCCAGGCTGGCGGGGGGTCACTGCCAACAGGTTTCCCGTAGTCGCTTCCAGGGATCACTACCAACAGGTTTCCCGTAGTCGCTTCCAGGTGTCACTGCCGACAGGTTTCCTGTAGTCGCTTCCAGGTGTCACTGCCGACAGGTTTACTGTAGTCGCTTCCAGGGATCACTGCCGATAGGTTTCCTGTAGTCGCTTCCAGAGATCACTACCAACAGATTTCCTGTAGTCGCTTCCAGGGAACACTGCCGACAGGTTTCCTGTAGTCGCTTCCAGGTGTCACTGCCGACAGGTTTACTGTAGTCGCTTCCAGAGATCACTACCAACAGATTTCCTGTAGTCGCTTCCAGGGAACACTGCCGACAGGTTTCCTGTAGTCGCTTCCAGGTGTCACTGCCGACAGGTTTACTGTAGTCGCTTCCAGGGATCACTGCCGACAGGTTTCCTGTAGTCGCTTCCAGGTGTCACTGCCGACAGGTTTCCTGTAGTCGCTTCCAGGGATCACTGCCGATAGGTTTCCTGTAGTCGCTTCCAGAGATCACTACCAACAGATTTCCTGTAGTCGCTTCCAGGGAACACTGCCGACAGGTTTCCTGTAGTCGCTTCCAGGTGTCACTGCCGACAGGTTTACTGTAGTCGCTTCCAGGGATCACTGCCAGACAGGTTTCCTGTAGTCGCTTCCAGGGTCACTGCCGACAGGTTTCCTGTAGTCGCTTCCAGGGATCACTGCCAACAGGTTTCCTGTAGTCGCTTCCAGGGATCACTGCCAACAGGTTTCCTGTAGTCGCTTCCAGGGATCACTGCCAACAGGTTTCCTGTAGTCGCTTCCAGGGATCACTGCCAACAGGTTTCCTGTAGTCGCTTCCATGAGGGATCACATGCCAACAGGTTTCCTGTAGTCGCTTCCAGGGATCACTGCCGACAGGTTTCCTGTAGTCGCTTCCAGGGATCACTGCCGACAGGTTTCTTGTAGTCGATTGCGCTATCTCTTATTGTTCTCACTGGAGTTATTCTGCACTGTCTGCTTCAGTAGGGAGTGATTTCAGTGGACAGATTTGGGACCCATGCCTCCTTAACACAATATTTACCCACAAGATCCCAACAGTAAAACCGGATAACCAACTTAAAAGTCATCTAAACAAAGAAGATAAAGATGTAGGTATTTTTCGGTAAGTTCACGATATGTACACAGACGCGCACGCGTACACACGTGTACACAAACCTTCAGGCATATATATATATATATATATATATATATATATATATATTATATATACAGAAACCTTCATACTGACATAGAACTAACCACTAATTTACTGTGCACTCAATATCCATCCTGTGGACGGTAGCTGCTAGTTTATTGTGCACTCAATATCCATCCTGTGGACGGTAGCTGCTAGTTTATTGTGCACTCAATATCCATCCTGTGGACGGTAGCTGCTAGTTTATTGTGCACTCAATATCCATCCTATGGACGGTAGCTGCAGTTATATGGCACTCAATATCATCCTGTGGACGGACTCTAGTTTATGTCACTCAAATATTGTGGATTAGCTGTAGTTTATTGGTAATATCCATCTGTGAGTGGTATGCAGTATCGAACAAAAGGCTAGAACTAGTCTTTACAGGCTTTCAGACAACATTCTTTATCCGTTTCAACCAAATTCAGAATATTTGTTCAATATATCTGGTATGTTATTTATAGTAATAAGATATCTTGAGATAGCACATAGGTTATTATGCTGTTTATCTCTATATTCCTCAATAAGTGGACAATGAAGCATTTAGTGTTAAGGCTGACTACATACTTTATGTTTCGTCTGATCACCAACTGTGTCTGCCTGAGGTACCTGTAACCAAGCCTAAGACTGGCTACTGCAACATTAGTCAGTCTGTTCGTATTGCAAAGTTGTTCCGTGAATGTGCTAACTACGGATGTATTCTGGCTTCTATATTCCTATGGTATTCAGTCATGATATACTTCTCTCCTAATAATATTCCTAATGCCAGACACAGATATACCCAAGTTATATGCTACATTTTCCATCAGGGTACTTCCTCTGGCTAACTTATCAACTTTTTCATGAAGAATTAACTCCATGTGTGACGGAATCCATACAAATTGTACATTAATTCCACATTCTCTGACCTTATTTCAGTAGCTACGCTGGGCTTCTCTAGTGAGTATATTGATAGAGTCATCGTGTGAGTCAAGAGATGACAGCATCAGTAAAGAGCAAGAACTCAAGTTCAGTGCTATCAGTCGACCATAAAAAGATTACAAAAACTAAACTATGATAGAGTACTGTATAATGTATACTACAACACTGTATGACGGAAGATTGAAGAAAATGTATTTGTGTGTAGTACCACTGCTCCACACACTAGTACCACTGCTCCACTCACTAGTACCATTGCTCCACACACTAGTACCACTGCTCTACCCACTAGTACCACGGCTCCACACTAATACCACTGCTCCACCCACTAGTACCAATGTTCCACCCACTAGTGCCACTGCTGCACACGCTAGTGCCACTGCTCCACCCACTAGTACCACTGCTCCACACACTAGTGCCACTGCTCCACCCACTAGTACCACTGCTCCACCCACTAGTACCACTGCTCCACCGACTAGTACTACTGCTCCACCCACTACACTACAAGACTAACCTTGAAGAGCTTGTCGACCTTGTACCAGACATCTTCCTCGTCGTCCTGGAAGGGCAGGTCGACGTTGAGGTTATCTTGGGATCGACCCAGTATCTTGCGGCGGGATACCATCTCCAGCGCCGGTGCGGGACCGCAGCTGCGGCAACACAACAACAATATTAGTTACAAGACTAAGCCACAATACTGTGCAATAATAGCCACAATTCTGTGTAATATTAAACAGTACTATGTAATAACAGACATAATACTGGGTAATAACAGACACAATACTGTGTAATAATAGACACAATACTGTGCAATAATAGACATAATACAGACACAATACTGTGTAAAAATAGACATAATACTGTGTAATAATAGACACCTTACTGTGTAATAATAGACACAATACTGTGTAATAATAGACATAATACTGTGTAATAATAGACACCTTACTGTGTAATAATAGACACAATACTGTGTAATAATAGACATAATACAGACACAATACTGTGTAATAAAAGAAGAGTGGGGATAGAGGGGATAAAAAGGGGTGAAAGGGGACAGATGAGAGGGGCGAGAGGAAAAAGAGGATAGAGTGGGAAGAGGGGAAACAGAGGGAAAGACGGGAGAGAGAGAGAGAGAGAGAGAGGAGAGAGAGAGAGAGAGAGAGAGAGAGAGAGAGAGAGAGAGAGAGAGAGAGAGAGAGAGAGAGAGAGAGGGAGAGAGAGGGAGAGAGAGAGAGAGAGAGAGAGAGAGAGAGAGAGAGAGAGAGAGAGAAGAGAGAGAGAGAGGAGAGAGAGAGAGAGAGAGAGAGAGAGAGGCATATACAAATACTGTAATCTACGAGGAAGGAGGAAGAGGTGCGGTAGAATACAACTAAAGTACAGATGCGGTCAAACCAGCCGCAGAAGAGGTCAAACCAGGCGCATGCGGCCGGTGTAACATTATCAAGCCTCACTTTAGGTGTCCCGTAGCTCGGTTGGTAGCGCACTCAGCTCACACAGTGAGGTCCATGATTCGATCCCCGGTACGGGTGGAAATATTGGGAAGTATTTCCTTGAGACACCTGCTGTCCATGTTGACCTAGTAGTAAGTAGGCACCAGGGTGCTAGCCCACTGTTGTGGGTCGCATCCTGGGGACAATATTAACCTGATTTACCCGAAATGATCTGTATAATCAGGGGCTTAGTGTGTCACTGATGTCAGCTATGGTCTGTATAAGTTGTATCATGTAGAAATATTAATATTAATTATTATTATTATTATTATTATTATTATTATTATTAGTTATTATTATTATTTATTATTATTAGTAGTAGTAGTAGTAGTAGTAGTAGTAGTAGTACAGGATCATTATTATTACTTCGTCTTCCGGATCTTGTCTAACTGAGACCCACTAACGAGCGAGAGAGCCACTTGCGACTCGTTCGCTGAAACATGACCCATGACAAACATGACCCATGACAAACATGACCCATGACAAACATGACCCATGACAAACATGACCCATGACAAACATGACCCATGACAAACATGACCCATGACAAACATGACCCATGACAAACATGACCCATGACAAACATGACCCATGACAAACATGACCCATGACAAACATGACCATGACAAACATGACCCATGATAAACATGACCCATGACAAACATGACCCATGATAAACATGACCCATGCCAAACATGACCCATGACAAACATGACCCATGACAAACATGACCCATGACAAACATGACCCATGACAAACATGACCCATGACAAACATGACCCATGAGTGAAACATGGCCCGTGCCATGGCACGGGTCATAGCACACACTACACTACAAGCAAGGCTCTCTCACTATTCTTCACTCAAGCACACACTACAAGCAAGGCTCTCTCACTATTCTTCACTCAGACACACACTACAAGCAAGGCTCTCTCACTATTCTTCACTCAGGCACACACTACAAGCAAGCCTCTCTCACTATTCTTCACTCAGGCACACACTACAAGCAAGGCCTCTCACTATTCTTCACTCAGGCACACACTACAAGCAAGGCTCTCTCACTATTATTCACTCAGACACACACTACAAGCAAGGCTCTCTCACTATTCTTCACTCAGGCACACACTACAAGCAAGGCTCTCTCACTATTCTTCACCCAGGCACACACTACAAGCAAGGCTCTCTCACTATTCTTCACTCAGACACACACTACAAGCAAGGCTCTCTCACTATTCTTCACTCAGAACACACTACAAGCAAGGCTCTCTCACTATTCTTCACTCAGGCACACACTACAAGCAAGGCTCTCTCACTATTCTTCACTCAGACACACACTACAAGCAAGGCTCTCTCACTATTCTTCACTCAGGTACACACTACAAGCAAGGCTCTCTCACTATTCTTCACTCAGACACACACTACAAGCAAGGCTCTCTCACTATTCTTCACTCAGACACACACTACAAGCAAGGCTCTCTCACTATTCTTCACTCAGACACACACTACAAGCAAGGCTCTCTCACTATTCTTCACTCAGGTACACACTACAAGCAAGGCTCTCTCACTATTCTTCACTCAAGCACACACTACAAGCAAGGCTCTCTCACTATTCTTCACTCAGACACACACTACAAGCAAGGCTCTCTCACTATTCTTCACTCAGGTACACACTACAAGCAAGGCTCTCTCACTATTCTTCACTCAAGCACACACTACAAGCAAGGCTCTCTCACTATTCTTCACTCAGACACACACTACAAGCAAGGCTCTCTCACTATTCTTCACTAGACACACACTACAAGCAAGGCTCTCTCACTATTCTTCACTCAGACACACACTACGAGCAAGGCTCTCTCACTATTCTTCACTCAAGCACACACTACAAGCAAGGCTCTCTCACTATTCTTCACTCAGGCACACACTACAAGCAAGGCTCTCTCACTATTCTTCACTCAGGCACACACTACAAGCAAGGCTCTCTCACTATTCTTCACTCAGGCACACACTACAAGCAAGGCTCTCTCACTATTCTTCACTCAGCACACACTACAAGCAAGGCTCTCTCACTATTCTTCACTCAGGTACACACTACAAGCAAGGCTCTCTCACTATTCTTCACTCAGGCACACACTACAAGCAAGGCTCTCTCACTATTCTTCACTCAGGCACACACTACAAGCAAGGCTCTCTCACTATTCTTCACTCAGGCACACACTACAAGCAAGGCTCTCTCACTATCTTCACTCAGCACACACTACAAGCAAGGCTCTCTCACTATTCTTCACTCAGGCACACACTACAAGCAAGGCTCTCTCACTATTCTTCACTCAGGCACACACTACAAGCAAGGCTCTCTCACTATTCACTCAAGCACACACTACAAGCAAGGCTCTCTCACTATTCTTCACTCAGGTACACACTACAAGCAAGGCTCTCTCACTATTCTTCACTCAGACATACACTACAAGCAAGGCTCTCTCACTATTCTTCACTCAGGCACACACTACAAGCAAGGCTCTCTCACTATTCTTCACTCAGACACACACTACAAGCAAGGCTCTCTCACTATTCTTCACTCAGACACACACTACAAGCAAGGCTCTCTCACTATTCTTCACTCAGACACACACTACAAGCAAGGCTCTCTCACTATTCTTCACTCAAGCACACACTACAAGCAAGGCTCTCTCACTATTCTTCACTCAGGCACACACTACAAGCAAGGCTCTCTCACTATTCTTCACTCAGGCACACACTACAAGCAAGGCTCTCTCACTATTCTTCACTCAGGCACACACTACAAGCAAGGCTCTCTCACTATTCTTCACTCAAGCACACACTACAAGCAAGGCTCTCTCACTATTCTTCACTCAGGTACACACTACAAGCAAGGCTCTCTCACTATTCTTCACTCAGACATACACTACAAGCAAGGCTCTCTCTACTATTCTTCTCAGCACACACTACAAGCAAGGCTCTCTCACTATTTTCACTCAGGTACAACTACAAGCAAGGCTCTCTCACTATTCTTCACTCAGGTACACACTACAAGCAAGGCTCTCTCACTATTCTTCACTCAGGTACACACTACAAGCAAGGCTCTCTCACTATTCTTCACTCAGACATACACTACAAGCAAGGCTCTCTCACTATTCACTCAAGCACACACTACAAGCAAGGCTCTCTCACTATTCTTCACTCAGGTACACACTACAAGCAAGGCTCTCTCACTATTCTTCACTCAGGTACACACTACAAGCAAGGCTCTCTCACTATTCTTCACTCAGGTACACACTACAAGCAAGGCTCTCTCACTATTCTTCACTCAGCTACCACTACAAGCAAGGCTCTCTCACTATTCTTCACTCAGACACACTACAAGCAAGGCTCTCTCACTATTCTTCACTCAGGACACACTACAAGCAAGGCTCTCTCACTATTCACTCAAGCACACTACAAGCAAGGCTCTCTCACTATTCTTCACTCAGGTACACACTACAAGCAAGGCTCTCTCACTATTCTTCACTCAGGACACACTACAAGCAAGGCTCTCTCACTATTCTTCACTCAGCACACACTACAAGCAAGGCTCTCTCACTATTCTTCACTCAGGCACACACTACAAGCAAGGCTCTCTCACTATTCTACTCAAGGCACACACTACAAGCAAGGCTCTCCCCACTATTCTTCACTCAGGTACACACTACAAGCAAGGCTCTCTCACTATTCTTCACTCAGGCACACACTACAAGCAAGGCTCTCTCACTATTCTTCACTCAGGCACACACTACAAGCAAGGCTCTCTCACTATTTCACTAAAGGCACACACTACAAGCAAGGCTCTCTCACTATTCTTCACTCAGCACACACTACAAGCAAGGCTCTCTCACTATTCTTCACTCAGGTACACACTACAAGCAAGGCTCTCTCACTATTCACTCAGCACACACTACAAGCAAGGCTCTCTCACTATTCTTCACTCAGGTACACACTACAAGCAAGGCTCTCTCACTATTCTTCACTCAGACACACTACAAGCAAGGCTCTCTCACTATTCTTCACTCAGGCACACACTACAAGCAAGGCTCTCTCACTATTCCACTCAGCACACACTACAAGCAAGGCTCTCTCACTATTCTTCACTCAGCACACACTAC